AGTTAAGCTTAACTATTTTCGCTCCCCGCGCAAAAGGTCTCTGGTTCGAAACCAGACAGAAACAGATTTTGCACGTTCTCTTCATCACAGGTGTTTACTAAAGGTCAACAAGGGTCTGTGGTGTCATGGTCTGTACTATGAATCCAGGCATCCGAGTGCAAACCTCAGTTGAAATTTTCATGTTGCGTCTCACATCATCAACTTTGGAACCTCAAACCGAAACAAAGCAGAGAAGATCGGTTCCTGTAGTGTAGTGGTTATCATGTTTGCTTTACATGCAATAGGTCTCTGGTTCAAAACCAGACAGAAACAGGTTTTGCATGTTCTATTCATCACAGGTGTTTACTAAAGGTCAACAAGGGTCTGTGGGGTCATGGTCTGTACTCTGAATCCAGGCATCTGAGTGCAAGCCTCAGTTGAAATTTTCATGTTGCATCTCACATCATCAACTTTGGAACCTCAAACTTAAACAAACAAGAGAAGTTCAGTTCTTGTAGTGTAGTGGTTATCATGTTTGCTTTACATGCAAAAGGTCTCTGGTTCGAAACCAGACAGAAATGGTTTTTGTAGGTTATGCATCTCTTGGGGTGCAGTGAGACAACAAGAGCCTTCCTCTTTCGTGATGGTTCATTTGCCAATCGACTTCAATGTCGGCTTCTTTGAAATCGAAGCTACTTTACTTCAATTACCAATTGGCAGTTCTATGGCGTAATGCACATGTGTCAAACTCGTGGCCCCCCAGCATTTTATAGGCCATGGTAACTCAAATGCAATATATAAAACTTCAATACATAAAATCAGTTATTTAACAATATGAGGTGGTGTTTAATTTATTTTTAACATTGTATTTTTATACATTTATGCTAGGGCTGCCCAAGTCTAGTTTTCCAGACCATCTGCACCTTTACATGCATTCCTTCTCTAACACACCTGGACCATTGACTCATTATGAGCCTCTACAGACCTGAATGAGGGAAGTCAACCTTTTGTCTGGGGTGTTTTAGCAGGGATGCACTCATGGATTTGTACCGTCAATGTGGCCCATTGAGGGGGGCCAATATGCTGAAGTGGCCCTCGGTGAAATTGAGTTTGACACCCCTGGTTTAGCTTCACCTGCTATGAGATTTTATTAAAAGTATTTTTTCAGCTACAGATGCATCCTTCACTGCAAATGATCAGACGTACATTAAAAGGAACACTGTTATTTAATGTTGGTAATGAAATATTTATTGATTGATTGATTTGTTTATTTGTAATTTTTTTTATGTCTTAGGAGGTTAAAATCATTTGAAGCTCACCTGTATCTGTTCAAATGGGACTTCGAAGCTGAAGCTTTCATTAAAGTACGGATTGAGCGTGTTCTTCTTCACTGTCGTCTTCTTCTTCTTTATCCGCTTCCCATTTTGTTGCAGAACGATCTTCACATATGGGTCTTTTAAAGACAACAAAAAGTATTCAGAATCTTCCTTCGGTACGAGACAGAATATGGACCGAAGTCCCAAAGAGGTTTAGTTACCTGATAAACCACCAACATCCATTTTCTTCAGATTTTTTGCCTCCATGATGTTCACCGTCAGTTTCCCAGCCGTTGGTACGTAGCGCAAAGAAATGCAAATGTCTCCCAATTTTTCCTGATGACAGAAAAGTTGCTTTTAAGACAAGCAGCATATTTATGAATTTTCTGAAATGTTTGCAGTCTGTTGTAGGTCTAAGCAAGTTTGTATAGATTCTTCAGACTGTATAGAGGAGCACTCCCCCTCCCCCACCTGTTGCTGTGCACCTTGATAAATTCTGCTATTCTTTAAATGACAGTTTTGGCTGTTTAAAGTTATTTTAAACCACATAAAACCTGTTTTAGTGCAGAAACTAAAGGAGCGCGACCAAACCCGTGTTTTATACTGTCTGAATAAAATCTCTAAACTTCACCTCTTCCTTCTCTCCACTCTCCAAGTCCCTCCATTGCTGCATTGGCTGGCCCATATCAACACTGTTCATGGGAATCTTTATTTCTCCGATCATGTCGTGCTTGGAGAAACGATCAAAGTCAAAAACCTGCAGAATCAAAGTCTTTCCGCCCAACTCTGCATACGGAATCTAAAACAAATGACATTTGATGTTAAATAAAGGAATGGAGATTTGCTTTTTTTTTTTTTTACACACACACAAATGTCAACAAAAACTAAACTGTTTGTGTTGAAGTACCTTAAAAATAAAAGTCTCGTTGAAAACAGGGCTCAGGTTTTTACGCTGGACTTTGGTCTCGTACTTCTTCTTCTTGTCTGGCAGCAGGAAAACTTTAACGTAGGGGTCCGAGGTTCCGCCCATGTCCATGGCAGCGAGGTCCTGAGCCTGAAGGATTCCCACTATGAGCTTCAGGAGAAAGAAAATTATGTTACAGCTGAAAACTGGAAGTTATTCTGTGAGTTCCTACAGATCAGGGATGCAAGTTATCGATTAATGAGTTAATCTAAAGTTGATTGATCTTATCGATCCACTAACAGATCATTAACAAACATCAATTTTCCTAAAAAAGAAAAACCTGAGTTTTCTCTTATGTCAAGGGTGTTGACCAGCTTTCCGGAACAGAAAGGGCATTTCTTTTTTTACTGTATACTAATTTATAAAGAGCACATCGTATCAGGACCATTGTAGGTAGAAATAAAGGAGGAGTAGATTTGCAAGTAAAACCTCAGAAATTTTGAGATTGATCTCAAAAATTGTCCAGAAAAAAAAATAAAAATTTTGAGCTGAAAATTTTTTACTTTTTAAAGTCGGAAATTTCCAAGTTTTTTTTGTTTGTTTGTTTGCTCAGAAATTAAATTTTTTTGTCTAGAAAATTATGAGATTGATCTTGTTTCTTGTTTTTTAGCAGAAATGTAATCCTCCTTTCTTTCTATCTAGAACAACCCTGTTGGGATGCTACGTCTGCCATCTTTGTTTCTCTTTCAGCTGGCTCCACCTACGGCTGACCAGTGGCGCCCTCTTGTGGATGGCGATCACACTACAACAAGCTCTGATTCAGAAATGAAGTGATTGGAACTCATTTTAATCTGTTTCTGGAACTACCTGACAATCTGTGAAGTTGTAGTCCAAGGAGAACTCCAGTTTGCCCAACTTCTCCTGTTCTTTCTCTTCTTCCTCTCCGTTCTTTTTCACGTCGCCCTCCTGCAGCAGGAAGCGTCTCCATGATCCATCATGATACGTGGTGAGACTGGGATGAGCGAAAAGCCACCCACCTTTTCTCCGGACTCCCCGTCTCCTTCCTTCTCCTTCCTGCGCCGACCTCCGGCCTTCCTCCCCCTCTCTTTCTTCGGCTTTTTCTTTTTCCCAAAACATTTTTTGAAAACACAGAAGATGAAGCAGGCCACCAGAACCAGAACCAGAACAACGATGGCCGCCACTGCCCACACAGGAACTGCAGAAGAGCGGCGAGTTAGCTCATCCCATGAGGTTTTTAATCACTTAAACTCCTTTAAATTATTTCACCGATGATTTTATTTGCTTCTGTCTCATCCTCAGGGATTTTCGGAGCAGGCAATTATCTGCAGACAGTTTGCTGAGTGTGTGTTTGGTCAGTAAACACTTTCTTCCCACAGTCAGATAATTACACTCCTGCAGCTGGGAGTAGACGTGTAAAAACATCATGAGTATAAGTCACTCCTTTCCCACTGTAATCTTTAGCTTCACTGCATCATTTTACTGTAACAGAACTGATTCCTGAACACAAACATCTCAAAGACTTGATGTTATTGAACTTTTTGCACATTATGTTCAGCTAAAAATAGAAATTTGATGCATTTCGATGGGATTTTGTCACATAAACCAACACAAAGTGGTAAATAAATGTTAAATTCTGTTGGAAATATTACACAACTGCTTATAATTTTTGATAAATATCTACTAAAGAACATTTCTTATCATGTTTAAAAAACATCATTTTATTTCTGTTTTTAGATTTTAAAATAAAGATTGGTGCAGTGTCTTCTATGGGATGTTGATATTTGTGGAAAATGCTATGAAAAATTATTCATTTTATTTCCTCTAAAGTTTATTTATCATATTTTATGTCTGTACTCTCTGAACTTTATATTTTTCATTTGGTCAAAATCTAAACCAGCTTCAGATTTTGGATTCTGAAAACATACAAAATGTGGCAGATCTATTCAGTCTAATTCTATGCTTTTTTATTTATTTTACATTATATTGAGAAATCATAATTGCACTTTCTGAACCATTTGAAAGAAGGTTGGTCACAGTGTTTTCTTTTAGGTGTTTCAGTTTATTTATTACATATTTTATACTGGCTCTCCTATTGCACTGACTGAACAAATGAAAGTTGTTTTTACATGTTTAACTAAACTTGTGAAGCTGTTGGTGTATGTAAGTGTGCTCCACTGGTGCAGATGTGCAATTCAGTACATTTATGTCTGTTTTAAAAGAAGAAATGTTTCAAGTCAATTCAGCACCGTGTTATTGGATTGGTTTCAGCTGATACTGAATCTCAGACATCAGAGATTCAGTATTGGTGCATCCATAGTTGAAAGGTTTGTTTTTACATGTTTGACCAACGAGGTCAGCTTATTGTTTTAGTCAGTTTCTTTATTATTTATTTTAAATTGGCTGTTCTACTTCCTAATAGCACTGAGTGACTGAATGAATGAAAGATCTGGCGTTCTTACAGCTATGGGAGTATTTAAGTGTGGTATACTGGAGAAGTTATCAGATACATTTGTTATTCAATATATCATGCTTTAAAAAAGAAGAGCAGTGTTTTCATTTCAGCTGTTTTTTGTATCGGATCGGTATCAGCTGATACTAAACCTCAGATATCGGTATCAGAAGTGATAAATTGTTTGTGAAACAATCATCCGGGTCGGTTTATTGCATCCTGGTTCTGCCGGCGCCTTACTTGGCAGGTGACTCAGCTCGTTCATGAACTTCTCCTTCATGTGGTCGTACTCGTGTGCGGGGTGATGTTCTGGGTTCGCGTGTTCATGGTGGTGTTCCGGGTGGTTGTGCTCGTGATGGGCCGGTTCCGTCGACTCCTCAGATTCGTGTTCGGACGGCTCCGCGGCCCTCCGGAGCCGGAGCCCGCCGCTGCCCAGCCTCATGCCAGCTGTGGGAACGGCAGAGCAGGTCAGTGTCTGCGTAGTTGGCCCGTTCAGCGAGCCGTGACACATTTCTGCGTGTCTGCTGTGTAATCCCTCTGATCATGTGTTGCAGTACAGAGCAGGAGCATGGGACATCGCTTAAGCCAGATGCTCAACATGGCTGACCTTAATCCCTCTGTTACTCGCGTTCTCTCTGTCATCTTCTGCGGCCCTTAACCCGCCTTCACTCCCATCCCAGCCTCGTTTTTCCTGCCGTCATGCTCTCTGCCAGCTGGATTAAACTCTGCCACGGAAATATTAATCCAAAATCTCAGATTCTCAAAGCTGCAACAAACAGAAGTTGGTCCCATCTCTTGATATTCCTCAAATTTATTCCCTATTTTATTCAACTTATTGATTATTAAGTCATTTTAAAGGCCTGTAAGTTGACCAAAACTAAAAAAACATGAGATTTTTATGATTTTTGATTAGTATGTTGAACTACTTTTAATTTAACCAGAACCTGGTTAGAATACAGCAGTTTATTCAACATAATGCAGAAGAAAAAAAAGTTCATTTTTATGTGATTTTCATCATTTATAATGATAACTGTATAGCAAGAAGGACTCATAGTCCAATGTAACAAATAATAAAAAAGAAAAAACTAATTAAACTAAATAAATACATAAAAAATTAAATGGATGGATGGATGGATGGATGGATGGATGGATGGATGGATGGATGGATGGATGGATGGATGGATGGATGGATGGATGATGGATGGATGAGTCTAGTAAAGGATTGCAGCTGGATGATTCACAGAATAATAAAAACAAACAGTAAATAAAGTGTAAAAATTTATCTGATAAATTGAGAACCTGTAATATGTTTTCATTCACCAGGACGGTTCTGACTTTATATTTTCTGCAAATAATCAATAAACAAAAACAAAACACATTTGCATCTCCAGATAAAAAAACAGTTGATCATTTTGTTCCAGTATTGGATATTCTTGGATATTATTTTTTTTTTATCTCTCCCCCTCTCTGGACTCTGTGAGTAAAACATGAAGAAGCTTCATGTAGCTTTCTTCCTACCTGTTGATGGTTTCTCTTTATTTCCTGCTGGTGTAAAATAACTTTGTCTTTTGGATTGAAATGTTTTGTTGGGTCGGTGATCGGAGCTGCAGCGCGTCGCCGTCTCCGCCTGGCAGGCTTCCTGAAACTGTTCCCATCAAAGCTCTGACAAATCACCAGAGCAGCGTTATCGTTTAATCCCCTCCTCTGATATCAGCGCTGACCACACATCTGCTGCTTTTCTGCTGAGCAGAAACCAGCAGTGTGTCGTCGTTTTCCTGCTACTGCTCTGATTTAAACCGGACAAACAGAATCAATCTGGGGATTTGTTTTATTCAGGTAGAGAAGTTATTGTGTTCATGTCAGCAGTGTGTGATAATCATCAGACTGTGTGGAGCATCTAGTCTGTCACTAATCCTCTCAGCATAGCTGTTAATCTACAAACAACTGAGTGAGAGTGGCCATTCTGCTGCTGCTCCATCACTTCATTTCATTTTATTCAGCAGGAAGGCTGAATAAAATTAAATGAAACATTTTATTTGTGTAGAGAAACTCTGACACTTTACAGGAATCCGATAAAATTACAAACAGATCATTTAAACACACACAAAAAAAGGAACAGAATAAAAAAGCACTTAAATACACACCACTGAACATAAGACATTTATGATGTCTGTGTTTATTTTAACAAACATGTTTTTTGTCATTATGGCCCAAAGTTTCTGGTTTGGTTTCATCAGAACATAAACAAGGTTCCATTTTTTATGGTCAGTACTGTATATTTATTTTGTTTGATGTACTTAAGTTTTCTGTTTGTAATTTTACTCGATTCCTGTAAAAGTGTCTGAGTTTCTAGAAAAGTGACAAAATTATTTTAACCCTGTTTCATGTTACAGCGGATAAAGGGCTGTTAGTAACTAGTTTACATGTTTAATTACTCCAAGCTGTAAAGTATCACTGCTTGAGTAAAAGTTCTGGATTTTTACCCACTGAAACATTTTAATGCATTAAACACTGAAACCTGCATGGTTAAAACGATAATCTGTTTAAGTTATATTAGGGGAAAAAACATTTAACTTGAAAGCAATTCTGCCTTAAAGTATTTTATCCTGAATTTCTTTGAAATACCAGAATTTGCAAACCATTGATTCCTGTTTTTGCCATAGTTATGAATCCTGCCCAAAGGATCATTTTCCTGTTCATCAAATGGCATTTCTCATCTGTAAACAGTAAATCTGGACACTACAGTCACTGTAAGTGGTAATAAACACAAAGCTAAACTTGCTTCAATAAAGCATTTAAGGTGTGAACATTTATTCCTCCAGTTTTCTCTGTTCATTCTCAGACCTGCATTTATTCAAACCCATTTCAGTAACAGGTCAGTCACCTGAGCCATAAATGATCCCAGTCAGATTTTCCCTCTAATCTCAGAGGGTGAATAAGCAGAAACCGTCCTCAGACAAGACTGAACCTCAGACTGCATGACAGAGCAAACAGGAAATGTTTAAAAGGTTTGGCAGCTTTAGATTTATTAAATATTTCAGATAATTTCCAGATATTAAAATATTTCAACAATTTGATTCAGAAATGGTTTGCATTTGGTAAAAAAGTGAAAACAGGATCATGGAGTGCATGACAGACCAAACATGATTCATTTCACAGCAACAGCTCATTACAAGAATTATGGCTCTGCTACAACTTCAGAACATTGTTGACGCTCCTGGTTCATTTAGAAAAGTTGAGGTCATTTCAGTTAACATTTGACCTATTGTACAGAAATAAAGGAGTTTGGGGTTAAATGTGCAAATATTTTGGGGGTTTTTTTGTTTGTTTTTTTCAACGGAAACAAATGCAGCTTTGACCTCTTTGGAAGTGTGAGCAGCTGGAGATGTTTAATGCTTTTTTAGAGTGTGTGTCTGTCGAACAGGTATTCTGCCATGGAGCCGTGCGGTTCGGAGGAGGAGAGGCGGGTCAGGCTGCCGATGTAGTCGCCCAGCTTCTTGATGGTGTCGTGGCTGTCGACGAGGAACTCCCGCTCCAGGAAGTCACACAGCTGGAAGAGGAAGACAATGCAACAAAACCTGGAGAACATTTTGTTTCTTTAATCAGCTAAACTCACATGTGGGTCTTTGTTGCCGTCGGCTCTGCGGTGAACATCCAGGATGAAGGTGTTCAGGGACTTCTGGTGGTCCAGGGAGAAGGTCAACGCATCCAGACCGCCTCTCCAGTCCTCCCTGCTCGGTTTCTAGGGAACAGATTTAATGTTTCCATCAGCAGCTCAGACCAGCGTTGTGTCCAGTTTTAATTCTGATCAGCATTTAATACTGAAATCACTTCCAAACTCAGTCAGGTGGGTTTAATTCTCCTGCCTTGGTTTTATTTGGAGAAAATATTTCTAACTGCTAATCCACTCATTTCAAAATAGTTTTTAAATTAAAGTCAAACATTGACAAATTCAGTCGTACTAAAATTAGCCTTTTAAACCATAAAAGCAGCATTATTGTCATCTTTATTAATGAACCAGTTTTAATTTCAGTTTCTTCTGAATAATTTCTGCCCAGAGACTAAGACGGTTCTAAATATGGATCTAATAAATGCAAGTGATAACAGTTTTTCTCTAAATTTTCATCTCCACATAAAGCCATTTTTTAACTCAGTTGGCCACAATTGATCATTTTTCACCAATAGAACAGTTTAATTTTTTTCCTGCAAAAGCTCCTTTTAAAACCACAAACTAATTTTTAAGGACAAATTTCCCCAAGCCACCTGTTTTCTAAAGGTCAGAAAATTTGCAGCTTTACCACTAAAAATGCAGACTGCTGTCCAGTGTAGTCAGGATGACCTCATCTAGCAAAAGACATTCGATTTTATTTTAATCCACTAAACTGACTGAAAGTTTCAGACTTTACTATCTTTACCATAAACCTGTCAACTGTAAGAGTTTGACATAAAATCTCACTTTAGCCCAATAGAGGCAACATATGAAGTCTATTAGAAACCAGCCTGAGGTTAGAGTCCAGTGTTTAACCCAGCAGCTGGCCTGGTTTCCCAGACTGATGACATTTTCAGTCTCACTCACAGCGATGGTCTGAAGCAGAATCCGGCCTCCTCTGGTGTTCTGGTATTCCAGCAGCTTCTCAGCCTGTTCCCGCTCCTCCTTGGAGCGCTCCAGGAAAAAACTGGAGAAGTGTGGCAAGGCGACATCATCCCTGTCAAAATACATCCCCTGAAAAACAACAAATATCAGAAAGCAGTCAGCAGATTGCAACATGACTGAGTTTAGCTGGACGTACCAGGGCCAGGTAGGTGTAGGAAGCGTTGAGCTTCAGATTGATGAGCTTGTTGACGTCGCCTTCAGTCTCTGCATGGTAGT